AGGAAAGTACTTTACTAATATATATTTTTCATGTAATACTGCATCAAATTCATTTATTCTAACAAGCTATCAAAATATACATTATCCAGACTTTTCTGTTTAACATTACTAAAAAGTAAAAAAAATTAATGATATAAAACATTTACATTTCAAAAGAGACCATATCTTGTATTAATGCCATCTGCTCACAGTAAAATAAAGACACGTGCTTATTTTAATTACAAAACTGAGGTAAAGCATGAGGAAATCAGGCATATATGAATCTTTAATAAATCAAAACTCACATGAAATCAGTCTGTAACACTCCAAACACAACTGTCAACGTACAATACACAATACAACTGATAAAAGAAAATGAAAACTCAAACTGACCAAAGCTCGCTAACTAATAACCTGCAGCAAATACTACATATCCCCTTACAATTTTTCAAAAATAAATCCTGCATTGTTCAACAGTCCGTGCTACTAAAAGCCTATAAAACTGTCCTACAAAACTACCAAGCTAAGAAGCAATGACATTTTCTTTCATTACCTATACATTTCTCTGCCTCATTACACTCATCTCCACATACTACTACATGAAATACAATAAAGACATGAAAATTGATCTCAAATAATTCTAATTGCAACAGACATTATACAGCAGTTAGGTTCTGGTTTTAAACTGAAACATCATATCTGGTTTAATGATTTTTTTTATTGAAAACAGGATAATCAGGACTGATAAACTTGCATAACATCACACTGCTACATGGAGCTTAGTAAATCTTTACATTTTCACTGAAATTCCTTTAAGCCAGAAGGTATTCCAACAGCGAAGAAAATTATGAGGACTTGTGGGTTTTAAATTCTGATAAATACACATATCAAAGTGAATAAAAAAAATATTTTATTATAAAATCAAATCGAAACGATTCGTTCCTGGTTTCTTGTCACTGGGGTTTCAAATATTATAAAAAATCACCGCAGTGACAACCATTACCAGTTCCGCATCACAACACAAGGGATCTTGACTGAAACACATCACACGGGCATGAAGTTTCCGTGAATGTAGGTCAGGCACTATTGCATGACACCCACTCAACTGCGGCAGTCTGCATGCCAGAGCAAGGAACTGCTTTCCCGATCGCTCCCCATATACTTGCTATCATGCGGCTAATCGTCATTACACTCGAATCCATCTGGACTCCCGACGACCAATCAGACTTACCGTCACTAAGAATTCTTCCGGAAGGTCCTCCGTCACTGGTATTCTTAAGAAAAATCCCGAGAACTCCCGGCGGCGACTCCCGCATTGATTTTTGAGCTGCCATCAGCTGTTTTGAACTTCCCGTTTTCTGTGAGGCCGAGCCCGTTTTCTGTTACAGAGAAATGGCATCGGTGACTATAGCAAAGATCAGAAACTCCTGTTAGTTATAGGTTTCAACAAGAGATGGCGTTGCTATATGTGCGATTATCGTCTGCTTGTGTCTGGCGGAAGTTTTGTGTCTGAGCCGTGTAATATATGCATTTTCTCTGAAGTTACTTTCTTGTGAGTATATTTTTTGGTACAGAAATTATAATCATCCGATGATACTTCTAGATCAGTTGGTTTTATCGTTCCTACATGCGATCAAGAAATCCTCTTTGGGACTAGAAACTTTCCATTGATTTCAATTTTATTATATTACTTCCGATACATTACGCACCGTATTTATTTTCGCCTTCACAATTTTTTCTGTACTAGACAAAGTGAATATATGGATAAGTAAAAAGGGAGAGAGTACAAAAGTACCCTGTAGAGCTGTCATTCATATTCTTTCCTGTAACTTTGTAATACTATTGATAGATGGCGCTGACCGAGTGTTGAATTGCACGATTAGTTCAACAGCTTTCACGTCTCTTGAATCTTTCGTAGACAGTGACCAATTTAATGTGAGTTTCTATTGGACGATCTCTTCAAGCTGACCAATCAGAACTCGTCAAGTGCGGATGACGTCATAGGACATTGGCGCCAAATTCCTCTCGAAACAAATTTGAGTTGCCATCAGCTGTTCCGATCTTCCCGTTTTCTGTGAAGGAAGTCCATTTTCTGTAGCATTTTACCCAAGGCGAGTTCTGATTGGTCTAGACCTTGGAAAGTAACCAATCATAACTCGCCAAAAAAAATGACGTCATAGAATGTTGGCGCCAAAATCCGCCTTCGCATTTGTAAACAAGCGCGAAGGAGTTTCACATGCAAGTGTTGCAAAAATGCTGGTTTCTGACCTCCGCAAGGAATTCTACGACGTGATTAGAGGAAAGGTATATTGCACAAGATACATGGCTTGAGAACAAAGGACTCACACAAAGAAAATTCATTAAAGGGAAGCAAAAGAAGGGTTAAATAGACATTTTTCTCTCCAACCGGGTTATAAAGTGACTTTGATTTTGATTTTGATTGAATGTTATTAAGTTATTTCATATATTTCTTTTATATTTCTCTGTAAGATTTATTTTCACTCTCTCATTTATCGTTCTG